TGAGAGTTCGGCAGGGCCCGCATGTGCGTCGTTTTCGATATATATAGTTACAGTCTTAATTACTTTGCAGACTCTGCCCCCAATGACTATCATCCTCCTCCAAACGGAAATGAGTACACGAATGGATATGGTACCAATGGAAATGCTACAAATGGATACGATAGTGGCTACCACGAAGATTCATACCCTGAGGACCCTCGCGCCGACCCCTTCTTCTCGTTCGGCGAGTCTCCCCCCAACGTCGCGGGCCCAAGCAATCTCTCGCGCAGCCCAACAGGACTGCTCCAGGTTATTTCCAACTACAACGAAAACGAGCGACGGCCGCTCGAGCTACACGACGAAGCAGAGGAGGACGAATACTGGGACGAGGAAGAAGAGGACGACGAAACGCGCTTTATCAATTTTTCGCTACTCTCGCACGTCGCTGTGCAGTTCCGCGACAAAGTACCGCGCGGGACACACGTCAAGGGCAGCATTCCGTACCCTCGCGCCTTCACGGGCAAGGACGTCGTGACCACCATTCAGTCTCAAATTCAGCGCGACCTGGCGATCAACCACGGTATCTCAACCAACGATCGCCGCGCGGCGCTGCAAGTCGCGCGTAGTTTACAGAGCCAGCTGTTCTTCTACGAGGTCGAGTGGGGCGGGCGCGTCCTCCAGGACGGGGTGGAGGACGTGTACATGTTTTTGGATGATCTTGAGGGCCCGAGTGACGCTGCACCCGATAGAGAGGAACTTCCCACCGCGGTTGTTACGATGTTGACCAAGTGCTACTCGCCAAGCTGTGGGGAGGGTGTACCGTGTTATTCGTTCTCGTGTCCGAGCAGGGGTAATTCCATCATTGCGCAGATACCTGGGCCGGCGGAGGCACCGGTCGGGCCTGTGAGGGAGGCGTGGATTAAGACGGTACCGCGAGAGGTTATTGTGTCGCTGCCGGACAGCGAGATTAACCGCCAGACGTGCGTTCTTTTTTGGTTACCACTACGGCGATCCTCACCATCGCCCACAGTATTATCCACAAACTTATCAGCAAGGAGGAGCAATACCTACAGGACCTCGATATCGTCGAGTCCATCTTTATTCGGCCGCTGCGCGCAGCGAATCCGCCCGTGATCGCCGCCAACAAGCTCGAGGACTTTATCGATGAGGTCTTTGGCAATATCCTCGACCTCCGCGAGTGCAACCGGCGGCTGCTAGAGGTGGTGTATGTGCGGCAGCGGGAGCAGGCGCCGGTCATCCAAAGGATTGGAGACATCTTTTTGGACGCAGCGACGGAGTTTAGGCTGGCATATCCGATTTATGTCGGGCACCATCCACTGGCGGAAAAGAGGATGAAGGAGGAGCTAGATGCCAACCCGCAGTTCAGGCTGTTTATTGAGGTGTGTTTTTGGCGTTTAAACATTTTCATGGGCGGCTGAAGGTATTGTTTCAGCGCTGCTCGCGGCAGTCGGCCCGCACGGGTGCGCGTATGGACCTGAAGCACTTCTTGAACCGACCCTCGGAGCATCTCCAAAAGTACCCCGTACTGCTCGAGGCGATCTACCACGAGACGGCCGTCGGGAATCCTGACGCGGATTATCTGCTTGAGGCGATCGGCGCGATCAAGAACCTGCAGAGCGTTGCGCAGCTGCGGACGTTCCAGACCGCCATGGGCAAGGGGATCCCGGGCAAGTGGGAGTGGCACGATTTGGTAGCAGCGGATGTGAGGCAGGAGATGAGGAAGGAGGAGGCGAAGAGGCAGTCGTGAGTTTCTTGCTGCTTCTCGATCTTGTGGGATGCTGATATGCATGTGGATAGGATCATCTTTGAGCTGATCAAGGGCGAGATGGCGTATGTGAAGGATTTGGAGAACATCGAGATCGTAGGTGTGCTCGACTCAGCGAGTTCGTCGTTTCACATCTTTTTCAGATGTACATCCGTCCCCTCCGGAACGCAGACCCGCCTATCGTCCCCACGGATCGACTAGACCAGTTCATCAAGGACGTGTTCCACAACGTTTCGCACCTGCACGCGCATCACCGCGCGCTCGTCGAGAAGCTGCATGAGATCCAGCGCGAGCAACATCCGCGGATACGGAGCATTACCGAGCCCGTTCTCGACGCGGCACTCAATTTCCGCGAGGCGTATTTGGATTATATCCCCAACTATCCCATCGCGGCATACCGCATCGACGACGAGATGGCCAACAACCCGGCCTTCAAGGCGTTTGTGGAGGTGCGTTCACCGCCTTTAAATTTGTTCGACGATCCAACACCGCAATAGATATCCATACGCCACAACGACGCGCACCGGCTGGACATGAAGAATTTCATCAACCGGCCGATTCCGCGGCTCCTGCGTTACGAGCTTCTCTTGAAGGGTATTCTAGAGGAGACGCCTGTGGACCATAGCGATCGGTACTCAATCCCACAGCTGCTCGAAATTATCAAAGCGCTAGGGAAGGAGAGCGAGCCTGGAGTAGGCTCGGCGAAACAGAAGGTCGAGCTGTGGCGGTACAACTCGAATATCGCATTCAAGCCCGGCGAGTGGATCGTATGTTTGTTTTTGATGCGGAATGGGCCTCTGCTGACGGCTTCCCACAGGACATGGATCTTCTGGACGAAAATCGGTCGTTGATTTACGCGGGGAAGTTGTTGAGGCAGCCCGAGAGCGGGCGGACGTGGAACGAGCTCTATGTGTTGCTGTTTGACAACTATCGTCAGTGATTTCATTTTCCTTCTATCGATCATCTCCATTCATGATATCGCAGTGGTGATGACCAAACCTAAAGAAAAGGATGGTGTTATGAAGTACAACGTCGTCAAAAGAGTTCGTTGCGTCGTTTCATCAAGATGGATTTGAGCTCTGATTCTGAAGCATAGCCCATTCCCCTGGATTTGCTGACGCTGGTCAATTTTACCGATCCACCAACCCAGCGTGGGACTGGCCTCCTCCGCAATCTGCGTGGCGACCGATTTCCCGGTGGAGACAGTGCTGGAGGAGTCGTTGAAGGTCCGGCGGATTCACGCTCCGTGTATCCGTGCACCCTCCACCATAATGCACGGGTTGGGGGGTCCCATATTCTGTATGCAGAATCAGCGCCGGCCCGGGCAGAGTGGCAGCAGAAGCTGGAGGAGGCGCTCGGACTGCGGCGCGTCGTGCAGGAGTCGAACAAGGTGTTTGAACTCGAGATGCTCAGTACCGACACCTTCTTGGTCCCGTCCCTCGTTACGCCGGCCACTGCGCCGGCCTATCACGAGAATTCTTTGACAGGAAAGGTCACGTGCTCTGTACCATTCAGTGTGTTTTTCCGTTCTTTTTTTTGTTCAATGCTCATACCTTTTATGTAGACACCACGGACGGGCGAGGACTGGTTGCTATTGGGTGTGCAGAGGGCGTGTGGATTGGCTTCCGTCACGATTCACGGTGTAAGTATGGATTGTTTTCGGTGTTGTTGGTCTAATTTACTCTTCGCAGCAATGCGGCGTGTCCTCCATCTGAAAATGGTGACACAATGTGCGATGCTCGAGGACTTTGGGATCTTCCTCGTCCTGGCAGACAAGGTTGGTCGTGTTCGCAACATTCAAAGCAGCTCACCAATTTATTTCTAGTCACTCTTTGCGTATCACATCGAGGCTTTGGTTCCATCATCGCCTCAAAGTGCGAATGCTACTCAGACACCGCAAAAATTGAACGGCAACGTCCAATTTTTCAGCGTCGGTTCCCTGCTTGGACGGACCCTCGTCATATTCATGAAGCGAAAAAATGTGAGAATGTTTATATCCCTGCCCACACATACTTACAGTTCATTCAGGTCGACAGCATCTTCCACGTCGTCGAGCCCATCATCGACAAGATCAACGAGAGAGCCAAGGCGCCTGCAGGAATAGGAAGTCGCTTCGGTTTCCGGCAACCGAAATCAGACTGGTTCCGTCCTTACCGAGACTTTTTCTTGCCGTCTGAATCATTCGACGTCATGTTCTTGAAAGCCCGAATTGCCATCCTGTGCACTAAAGGCTTTGAGATCATGGACTTGCTTGAGTATGCATGTCGTTGCTGTCGCGGGATTGCGCTAACTTTTCCATAGTTTCAAAAGCGTGACAATACCACAGCGGGAAGATCCACGGCTTGCTAATCTCGCTAAACGGTGTGAAGCATGCCGTCCCATGGGCATGTTCCGATCCACGGACGAGGAGTTCCTCCTGGTCTACAACGGTAATACTTTTTCTCTGCGCAATAAGATCGATGCTCAACTTTGTTCAGAGTTTGGACTGTATGTCAACAAGCACGGTGACCCTAGCCCCAGCAGGCCCGTGGGCACCGTTGAATGGGAGGGTGAGTTTCCATCTCGCTTCAAAGCAACTTGTTTAATCTGGTGTCGTAGGAACCGCGGAGCGGGTTGCCTTTCATGCCCCCTACATTCTCCTCTTTGACACTCGATTTATTGAGGTCCGCGACGTCGAGACGGGGCGACTCGCGCAGATCATTCCCGGGAATGACATGCATTGTCTATGGGATGGCCGCGGCCAGGCTTCCAATAGCAACGAGCAGAATTTGGCCGACCACCGCAACGGTGTCCTCCAAGAAGCGAGGGTCCATGGTGTCATGAATGCCCCCGATCCCCCAGCTCAACCTGGGCGACCAGCTCCTCGAGCTGTTGCCCAGCACGTCTTTGAGCTCATTCCAACTATACCGCTGTATCTTCCAGGGTCGTTGGCGAGCCCGTCTACGACCACATACTTTAGTTCCTCGTCACCTCCCCATTCGCCTCAACTACGACCGATGACTGCCTATCGCTCACATTCATGATAATGCTATTTATTCACCTCACATGCATCATCTGTATTTTATTACTATTAAGTACCCTCATTTGTATAGCACATGCAATGTTTTCTGTGGAGGATGAATGCGTCCTAGTTTTAGTGGCGTGGAGAGTGAACGTAGCAGGCGCCGGAGAAGCCTGAGGCCCGACTCCTATCGGACTTGGTGCGGAAAATAGAGGGAAAAGTAAAAGAAACAATTGGCCATCGTGGGGGTCGAACCCAAGACCTTCGCGTGATTATTACATGAGCAGTTAATGCTCGAGCAACTATTAGCACGACGCTCTAACCAACTGAGCTAGACGGCCATTAAACAGGTAGATCATTACCATAATATAGTGGAGTTAGCTTGCCGAAGAGACTGTGGGCCTTCCGCCACGTTGGTCGGAACCTCGACCGCGCCGCCGCGTCCCCTGCCGGAGTGCCTCCAACGCGAGTCGCATTTCGCTGCCGTCGAGCGCCTTGTATTTACATCTTGGAAGTCACGGATTTGGGGAGAACCGTCGTGAATGCGAATTTGACTCAAACTACTGAAGAACAACGCCTCAACTTTCGGGCTACCTTTTGTTAATCCTGTCAGGCCCGGAGACTGAAGAGCTGGGCTAGAGGTGCTGGTGAAGCAGCCGTGAAGTGCGTCTGTCTGTTATCCTGCTTGCCTTGCTCACCGACATGTATGTATTTACTTTAGTACTCAGACGTCTGCCTGAATCGAAATGAAACAAGATATTTATATTGAACATAGTACTACAGAGTGCATTATCGCCTCAACAGTCGCCCATCGTCGTGGTCTTCTGCAGTTCACATGAATGAGCAAATCCAAATTCACGAGCGGATTACTCACCTCAATTGTCCGCTACCGCAACGCTCGCATCAACGCTCGCATCCTCCTCAAAGCTCGGATCCTTTGGGTCGTTTCCGCGAAGAATTTGCCCTATATGCGTCAGGACGAAACCTTGACCCTTGCGTCGCGCTCCAACTAATTCCCTGAAAAAGGGCAGTGGGGTGGAGGAGAATGAACATGTCTCAATCCCAAGCGCCGCGCGAGCCGGTTCAGTCTGCACGAAACCCGAAGAATCTATTGTTCCCTGCAGTTCTGGTCGGTTGCTCACAGACTGGAAGTGGAGCCCGAGGATATCGCAAACTGCTTCCATGGACCTTTTGTTCCCGCAGAACAGTTGGCCTGAAAAAAGGCTAAGCTCGTGGAGCGAGTGCTGATCGAGTGCGTCGTTGCGTTCGGCGGGAAGGGTGAACGAATCCAACCTGTCCATCGGCCAAAATGTGTTGCGGGAAACGCGAGGAGAATAAAGATGCAGATACGCGAATTCCGAACGGCGGACTTCTGGTAACCATACGTTTGCCTCGAAAGGGCTCACTAGGATCAAGACGTCGGATGATTTAGACGACATGACCCATTGAACGGCGCGGAGGTATTGGTCCATTGAGCCAGCAGACTTCCTGGGTAACGTTATGGTATCCCGGTAATCTTTCGTCGCAAGCAGTTTACTGCTCCGAAAGATCTTCCCGGGCGGCAAGAGGGAGATCCAGGAGGTGTTGGTCAAACAATCTTTAAGGGAAATGAAGGCGTTGGGTTGACTGATAGTGCCAGTCGCGATGAAGCGGCGAAGATCTTCTGCGTGGTGAACAGCTGCCTTCGCCGGTGCAATACGTTCCACTTCTCGTTCGTCTTCCTTTTCGTGCGAGATTTCTCGTTCCTGTTCTTCCGAAAGGGCAGTGTCGGACAGTGCGATCCCAAGAGATTGACACTTGTCCATGATGGCGGACTGCAGCTGGGTTAGGGGCATTCCCGTCGGCTCGCTTTGAGACCTGGAAGCGACACCATAAAGCTCCTCCAGTGTGCGGGATTCTCGCTCTTGTAGAGCTGCGACGGCGGTGTCGTAGGAACCACCCGCGCGGTACTCCTCCAGAGCGGTAGTGCGGGCATCGAAGTTCAAACCTTGGTTTGCCCAGAGTGCACCATTATCGCGGATCTGCACGCATGTCTCCTGGATCGTCCAGAGCAGGACGTGCATCGAATCAATCTTGCCCGTAACACCAGTTTTCGCAGTGATCTTCGTCTGAATTTCTGCGGAAGCAAAGAACAAGACGGAGTGGTCTTTCCCTAATCTTCGCATTCGCATACAACCTGTCAACGTTCGGTCAGATAAGTATTGTGCTAATTGAATATATGTTACCTTGGACTAGCTTGTCCTTCGTTAGCCTCGGGCCCAGAGTCACGACGGCACGAGATCCGGGAGGGAACTTGAAGTCGGTCCCGCGGGTATGCGCCTCATCGAGATAGACGAGCGTCTTCTCGAGCTGCTTTTTATACAGCGAGCTAGCGAACGGCTGAATGCGTCCATTGCGCGAAATTACGCGGATCTCGTCCGTGCTCGGATCGAAAAACACTGCCGCTTCGACATCGCGGCGGCTGTCGAGGTTGAGCCATTCTCGCGCAACGTCCACATTCTGAAGCTCCAAGACCTGAGCGCCGACGTCGAGAAGAACCATTACAGGTGGCTCCTGCTTAACCACACGCCGCAAAAGACCCAGCGCGTCGTCGCAGTCGGTATAGATGACCGCACGATTCTCCTTCTGCAAGATGTAATCGAGGACCTGGGCGTTGGTGTGTAGCTGTGAGGGCTGATCGCGCTGCTCGATGGAAAGAGGCAAGAGGTACTTGTTGTCGTTTGTGCCGCTGAACCCGGTAGTCGACTTTTCCGTCTTGCGAGCCAAATCCCAGGCATTCGTGGTGAGCTTGTGCTGGAACTCCTGCGCCTCTTTCGGAAAAACACACTCCGAGAGGTAAAAATCGACCACCGCCTTGTTGAAGCGCAGAAGGGGAAAAACTATCTGTGTCTTCTGTTCGAAATCGTCCAGATTCAAACCGCGTAGGTTAGCGAGAGTCGCAGGGAGGTCCTCAATCTCTTTGACCCACTCCTCGTATTGTGCGTCAGGGTTGTCAGAGTTCACCAGGAGCCGAAAGGTCACTTCCAGCTGATCGTCAGTCAGCCCGCCGTAATAGTACGAGAGACATGTAAGAACGATGGTCATGTCGGGGTGCCCGAACTCTGCTCGAGGAGCTGGACTGTCTTTGGCTCGATACGGGACTGCTAACATGGAACGGCGGGGATCCAAGCCGTAATCGACACGCCACCGTTTCTCTCGAAGGCTGAGATTAAGTATCCCGTGCGCGAACAGGCCGCGCAAAAGAAGAAGGTAGCCGAAGCGGTCTCCCAAAAGATTCCGCAATATGCGCTCATCTTGGGAGTCGATAGAGGGCTGCCGCAGGAAGCAGGAAACAATGTCTTTCTCTTCCTCGGAATAGTTTCTGAAGGAGATCCATCCCTGGAAACCGTCTTCAACGACAATCCTGTGGATGAGGGAATCAATCAAAACTCGTCCGCCTTCCTGAGTGAGAATCCTCGTCGCAGGGAATTGGCATGGCTCGCCGACTCGAGCGACCTCCAGACCATCGGGAACGGTCTTAACGACCGCTTGGAGTAACGAGAAGACCGTTTGCGTGATATTCCACCGCCAAGGTCGGCCTTCTAGTGGGCGGGAAGTGCCGACTGTGTAAATTAACTGGTATCGAACGTTGAGAATTTCATCGCTCTCATCTAAAATATCGCGAGCGGTGTCGTTCAACCAATCTTGGATTTCCCTCAGCATGCGGGTTTCTTCGCTGTCTTCCGATTGCGTTAAGGCGTTGAGTCCCATGAGTTTTAAGGATAAAATGTGCTCGGGTTGGCAAAGTAGGATCCCACCGCTTTCCGCGCATTCTTTGAACAACGCAAAAATCTGCTGGATTTTGGCGAAGTCCAAGTGGATGTCTCGGCTGAAAGGAAGGTAGAACAGACGACGATTTGCCAAGCCACAGACCCGTTGCTTGAGCAGTTGGAACATTTGAGCGGCTAAGGGTTTCAGAACGACAACCCGGACCAATTGTTTGCCGTTGGCTAGAGCAGAGGAAATAATGGGGACGATAACCTGAACGTCCGCTAAATTGATTTTATAACCTGTAGACGACGCATTACTCACCGAAGATTTTCCCTCGCCCATGTTAAGCTGCATCAAGGCGTTGCGGCTTTGTGGGAACATCATTTGCTCGGCAATAGATGCTTGGAGTGGACGGATGAGCAAATCGGCATCCAGCTGCACCAAGAGCCAATCTGGATAGGCAGATGGATCCCAACCACGGTCTCCGCGCGTTCCAGTTTCTTGACTGGTCTCGAGTCCAAGTCGCCCAAGTATGTCAATTCGCCGACGTTGCTGTTGGCCGGCAAGTCCTTCGGCATATCGAAGGAAGACAACCTTCCAGGGTTCCGACTGGACCGCCCATGGTTCTCGAGATAGCTGGTGAAGCAGGCATTGCTGTCCGGTTGTTGGCCATTGTCCGGTCTTGTGCAGTAATCGCTCGAACAGAGAGCACGGAGACAGCACCGAACGAAGGATGCCTTCAGCGTCGGGTGCGGCCTTAGGCTCTCGGTACCCCCGCATGACGTAAATTCGGCCCGGTCGCCGGTTCTGGGGTTTTGCTTTCGAAAGCGTCCACACAATGAGAAAGGTCAGCAATGTATTGGGATTTGGGTCCATCCACCGTCATCTTCGCCAAGTCAACCATAAGTTGACGAGCCAGAGAGGGGGCCGGCAGGGACACGGGATCCTGCTTCTGGCATACAGTGGGAGGCTCGAGCTCGGATAACAACGAGCTCAGAGTCATCGCCATATACCTCTGCGGTGGGATCACCACGAAAGGTGTTGAAAGCGCAAGTGGAGATATCGACCCAGCTTGCCACCGCGACGAACCTCGCACACCGCCGAGAGCACGCTGTAACTGCTCTGTGCTTTGATAGAGACCACGGTTGCGCAGTTTTTCTCTGAACAAGGATTCAACTGCGGGTCGAAGGTCCGCGATCTTGACAATAGGATAGAGGCGGATTGAACTGTCAGGAAGGACATGGGACATGTGGGGTGGTTTTGAACCGAGCGCGGGCCAATGGAGAAAAATTTTGTCCGCCAGTGCTCGGCACTGTTGATTCTTTTGTATGAGGAAGGTCTTTTGTCTCCTAGAGTTCCAGTCTGAGTACGACTCGTAGTTCTCCTGCGTCAACCAATTTGGGTCCGGATGACTGTGGTGACAATATGTGGTCACGATGTCCAATACCTCGGCTTGAGTTAACGCGTGTCCGAGACTAAGATCGAATGTATCCATAGGCATCTGTGCGGCAGCATGAATAACAGCTTCGACAGTACTGGACTTGTTAAGGCTATTTGTCGCGAGAGCAAGAAGGGATCGAATGAGGTCAGA